CCTCCTTCCCCCAGCTGCTGGCACTGGCTTCCCTCTGGCACCGCTGGCACTGGCTTCCCTCTGGCCGCCTGCAGACACCCGAGATCCGGGCTTCCCTCACAGCCTTAGCTTTGCCTGGAAGGTCGTCCGGAAGGTGTCTGGTCTAAATAGCATTTACGCTTTTATTATTATAGATTTTATTATTGTTTCACTCAGATTTTAAATTTGCCTAATTTCTATAGCCCTATTTTCTAGAAAATAAACTTTTTGAGTTCTTTCATTGGCAGAAGCTCCATCTTTTTACAGGGTCCTCACAGTCTGAGTAAATAGCAGTAAGTCATGAGTGGGATGATGAAGAAAGCCTGTCTTTATCCTGCTAGCAGGCAAAATGGAAGATAATTTGGATTTCAGAGAAAACAGAAAGTGGTCTTAGAAAACCATGATCCATTATAAATGAAAAGAAAAGTTGAAATAATTGAATCATGTACAAGGAAAAAAATCAATTTTATTTTGATGAATAGATGCTTCCTTTAATAGAGATATATGCTTAGTGATTTAGGGTGATATATGTATTGTGTAATGTTTGTTTAAGCCTATTTCAATAAAAATTTATTTGCTTTACAGTTCAAACAACTGAAATACAAATATACAATATTTAAATTTAGCTTTAAGGCTGTATATGAATTTATATATCTTTTCCAGGAAAATATTATGCTCTTGGTGACTAAATTTAGGAATGGAAAAAGAAGAGGAGGAAAGCATAAGGACATTTCTTGCCTGCACCCTACACAGTAGTAAATAAAAACCTAAAGTTAATGGATAAAAAAAGAATGTTTATATTCATTAAAAATATCCTATATAATAAAAGCCTAATATGCAAATCGACTAAACAGCTGAACGGCTGGCGGAACAACCAGTCGCTATGACACGCACTGACCACCAGGGGGCAGATGCTCAATGCAGAGCTGCCCCCAGACCGCAGGTCCCAGGCCAGCCAAGGCGGGTGCTAGCAGGTCCCCCCACCCCCATCACCCTGCCAGTTGCCCTACAGATTGGCCCTGATTTCCAGCCAGTCCTAAGGACCCTACCCATGCACAAATTTTATGCACCGGGCCTCTAGTCAAGATAATAAAGCAATTAAAAGTGAGATGGTAAACATATTATGTAGACCTGCTTTAAACTGGTGTGGTAAACCTCCAGGGAAATTCTAGTTCTCACACTAGGATCATGCTGCTCATCTGATTATAGTATCTCCAAACCCCAAGGGTCTCTTGGTAGCAGGACTGGGTGAATTCTGGGCTCCCTACAGAAAACCAGGTCCAGGAGCCACCCACATATGTACTTGGCTGGCAGATCGTGGAAAGGAGCTCTTCCTTTGTCGGGAGCCAGGTATGATGCTAGGGCCATAAACAGCAGACCAAGAAGAGGGAATGGTGAGCGTTAACCTGGAGGGCAAGGCATGGGGAGAGGGAGACAGGTACTTAGTAGCAGAGGACTGTACATCAGAAGTAGAAGCGGAGAGATATTGGCCAGAGGGATTCACAGTGATAGGCTGAAGCAGAGGTTATGAGAATTAGTGAAAGATCACTAAGAAGCTTGCAAACAAACATTTCTTTTCAGGAGAAAATGTCAAAAGTTAGTTAAGTCAAGGAAGTAGAGTAAATTTTTATGATTCTGTGTTAACCAAATTTGACATTTCTTATATATCTTATTGTTGTCTCACTCAGCTTTTAAATTTGGCTGATTTCTATATCCCTATTTTCTAGAATTATTAACTTTTTCAGTTCTTTCACTTGGCATCAGCTCCACCTTCGGCAGGATCCTTACAGTCTGAACTCTCTGATAGCTTTCTTATTAGAACCCATTTATATTTAGAAAGAAGGACTTCAAATGCATCCTTGCATTTGACCATTACAGAAACAGCTGAAATAGGCAGATAAGAGATATTTTTTAAAGTTCAAGGTTTACAGATGAGGAATCTTAGATGGGAGTGGGCTAACAAGGCCCTACCTCCTGTCAGTGTTGGGAGTGAGGACTGTGACTTTCATCTGCTGGACCAGAATAATACATCCTGGTGGCCACCATGTCCTTCATGCCCTAAA